CAGATATGACAAGGGTTCGCGAGGGCTCTCGGGCGCGGGCTTATTCGTTGCCGATGACCCTGACGCGTCAGGGGCCAGGTCGAGTCAGCCTCTCCCGCGGAAGACACTCAGCTCTGGGCAGAGTTCTGGCGCCGACGCGCACAGCAGCAGCCTGCCGTCCAGCTTCCATCCGGATTCCACCTCCCGCGCCATTTCAAGTTCAGACACTGCTGGCTTGTTGACGCAACATACGTTGTCGTCGCTCGAGGCACCGGATGAGCAAGGTCTCGCTGATCTGCCCAAGACCCTCTCCAGATACGAGAGGAAGCTCAAGAAGTTTGTCGGCCAGTGGCATGCATCCCTCGTCAAGAAGGGCATACCGGAGCATCTAGCCTACGAGCTTGCCAAGCACTGTGTCCAGGCCAGTGACGAAGAAGAAGGCGATTCGGAGACGGACAGCCATGTGAGTCGTGTGAAGCCACTCTTTCCTCCCGTAACAGGTGCGCTCTTGAGAGGCACCCAGCTCTTCCAGGCATCCACCCCGGTTTTGCCGGATGTGCTGAACAATTCTCGAGACGACAACGAAGACGGCGACATCCCTTCACGACCATCTGCCAACCTGATTCTCACACAGGTCCCTCAGACCGACGACGAACCCGTCGTGATACAGCTGGGCGCCGGTGCGCGAGCATCGAAGCAGGGACTCGGCGGGGATGACAAGCCAGCCACCCTGGTGGCGGCCCTACGAGCCAAGCTCGGCTGTGGCAGACTCAAGAACCATCCCGAGGAGGGAGATGAGGCTTTCGATACCCTAGCCGTTGCCCGAAGGCTGCAAGAAAGGGACTTTGGCGGCAGACTATCCTCGCAAGAGATCTGCGTCATAGGTGTCGCCGTCCTACATGAGGTATTCGGCGGCCGAGGCCAGAAACGCCTCGCCGATGCACTGACGCACCTTTATGGCAGCCACCCGCGACGCCATCTCGCCGACCTCGACCGGAACGCAGGCAGGGTGGCGGACGAGATCCGCAAGGGTGGCCCAGCGACACTATCCAGCTTCACCCTACGTTGGGCCCAGGCCGTTCAGCACGACAGCCCCAACATGTTGACGATCGATGACATTCGACTGATCGATATGAAGGTGTCGCTCGTCCGTGAATGGGATCGTTGGTCGAGCCCGGCCGCGACAGGGTCAAATGGAGACATCGAAGACTTCCTCGCCAGGAACGGAATAGACGCCAACGCGGGGTTGACACTTTCAACAAGGATAGCCAAGTATCTCAGCAGGAAGCTCAGTCTTCCTGAAGGCACCTTGGCCAAGAAGATCTATGCCTGGCGACCATTGACGGTGATGGCAGACGTCTTTGGCGCCGGCATTTATGTCTTTGTCTCCAAGAGCCTCTTTACGTGCTATAACAAGATTCGTCCGACCGATGGCATCAAAAAAGAGGATAAGTTCCGTGCCATGGCGCTTGCTGTTGCAGACGAGCTTCCAGACCTTTTGGAGATCTGCAAGGCATCATACATGCATGTCGTCCAGCCCGTCCTGAAGCCCCTTCCTCCTGGCAATAGTATGCAAGATCTTTCCAGGGACGTAAGAGTGCCTGGGGTTAAGATGGCTATAGACGGTGATCTATACAGCTTGCAGAAAACGTCCATCCCAGAACTGCTTGGTGTTTGTATACCTCCAGCAGGTTTTGTAGAGGAGTTGGACAGTGTGACAGGGGGCGATGATGATGCTGAGACGACACTGGTCTGCCGAAAGTCTACTCTTCATGAACATCATGAAGATGACAAAGATAGTAACGGTGATGAAAGTGGGGAAGAAGAGGATGAGAATTTATGATTGACACGAACCAAGAGTTTAAGAGGGGATTCTGATGTTTGGCAGGAGTGGGGCTCGATTACATATGTGATAGTGGGGCCTGGATCACACATGCGATAGTGGGGACTCAATCACATATGTAATAGAGACAAACTTAAAAGATATATCTTTAACCTGAATCCTAATACCTTAGCATAATTTCTTTAAAAGTAACTTAAGTACCTTAAAAATTAATATTAAAGAGTTATTTTAATATCTTCTTATTTATTTTTTAAGGTATTTAAATTAAAAGCTAGCTTTAAATATAATCTTTAGAATCTTTAAAATTTAAAAATTAAAAAGACTAATCTTTTTTATAGCTGGTATTAGAATTTATAGCTATATATTAAGCTTTAATATAATATTTTCTAAGTTTAAAGAAATAAATCCAGCTTCTTAAAAACCTCCCTTAATATTACTTTTTATTATAGTAGCTTTATAAGCAGTATAAAAAACTAGAAAAAACTCAGTCTTTAAAATATAAGTTATAAAATATTTAATTAATTACTTAATTACTTAATTATAGGCTATTTTAAGCAGCTTAAAATATCTAATATTAAGAAGTTAAAGTAAATAAAATAAATAAAATAATATATAAAATATAATAATATTATTTTTTTTATAATATTTCTTAAAATTAATAAAATAGTAACTTTTATACCTATTAAAAATAAGAAGATAATAGTAATTAATTAATTAATTCTTTATATAATATACTTAATAAGTAAGTACTATAAATAAGTAAGTACTATACTTTTCTATTTTATATCTAACTTTCTACTTTATTAAGTAAATTTTAATAACTTAATATATCTTAATAAGATAATAAAGTTAAAACTCTTTTTATTCTTTAAGCTCTTTAAAATAACTTAAAATTAAATATTTAATATACTATATTAATATATAAAGTAAATAAGTAAAAGCTATATTACTAATAGAAGAGTATTTAATATTAATATAATATTATTCTTAATTTATATTAATTAATTAATTTAGAGGAATAAATTATTATTTAATTTATTCTTAACTTAAATTTATAAGAATTTCCCCTATAACTATATAATATTAAAGAAATAGCTAATTAACTACTTACTAACTATAATATATTATCTATTAATAAGTACTAGACTTCTAACTTTATTAAACAATAATTAAAGCTTAAAATATTTTTTTTTTATAAATATAATTATTAGAGGGCTAAATATAAAAATCTAACTATTATTTATAATTAATTCCAGCTTATAAAAAATATAATTGTAAAGTATAGTATTAATTTAGCTAATATCTATAATTTTAATAAAACTAGCTTTATAATAGATATAATTATAAGTAGAATAATTAATATATATAATAAGTAAGTAAGCTAAATAAGTAAGTAGACTATAAATCCCAACTTTTAAAATTAAAACTTTAATAAAAAAGTAATAATACTTTAAATTAATTAAAATTAATTGCTATATTATTCTCTAGAGGTTTTAATAATAGCTTAATAGGTTTTTATATTATAACCGGCCTTTTTATAAGTTCTACAATATCTTTCCCTTAATATTACTAACTTCTTTTAATTACTACTTTTTAATAATTCAGTCTGTATTTATATATTAATATCTATTTAATTAATTACTTCTTTTCTTTTTTTATAATTATCTTCTTTTTATTTTATAAGTAGGTTCTTTTTACTTTATATTACTTACTAAGAGTTTATTTATTATTAAAGAATCTAATTCTTAGACTTTAATAATATTATTTAATATATTATTACTTTTATTTCCTTAGAAAATAACTTAAGTATCTTAAGAATAGATACTAGAAAGCTACTCTAATATCTTTTTACTTATCTTTTAAGGTATTTAAATTGCAAATTAGCCTTAAATACTATCTTTAGAGTCTTTAAGATCTAAAAGTTAGAGAGGCTAATTTCTTCTATAGCTGGTATTAGGGTCTATAGCTGTATATTAAGCTTTAATATAATATTTTCTAGGTTTAAGGAATAAGTTAGACTCTTAAAAACCTCCCTTAATATTACTTCTTATTATAGTAACTTTATAAGTAATATAAAAGGCTGGAAAGAACTTAGTCTTTAAAATATAAATTATAAAGTATCTAATTAATTACTTAATTACTTAATTATAAGCTATTTTAAGCAGCCTAAAGTATCTAATATTAAAGGCTAAATAGATAAGATAAATAAAATAGTATATAAAATATAATAATATTATTTTCTTTATAATATTTCTTAAAGTTAATAGAGTAGTAACTTTTATACTATTAAAAATTAGAAGATAATAATAACTAGTTAATTAATTCTTTATATACTAATTAAAATACTTAAGCTACTTAAAATCTATTTTATTATTAATTTAGCTATTTTAAGTTATTATAATAGCTTAATTATTTAGGAGGTTACTTTTCCAATACTAATTAGCAAGGTAATATTAGCTTGTAATTATAATAAATAGCTAGATTGCCTAGCCTTCTATATTAATTACCTAAATAACTATAACTTATTTTTAGTTTCTAAGCTGGATTAATTTTGAGTTTTTATATTTATTTATACTAGTAATAATTATTTTACTTGTAATTATATCTATTATAAAGTCAGTCTTATTAAAGTTATAAATATTAGCCTAGTTAATATTATATTTTGTAATTATATTTTCTATAAGCTAGAATTAATTATAAATAACAGTTAGATTTTTATATTTAGCCTTTTAATAGTTATATTTACAAAAAAAACATATTTTAAGTTCTAGTTATTACTTAATAAAGTTAGAAGTTTAGTACTTACTAATAGGTAATATATTATAATTAGTAAGTAGTTAATTAGCTATTTCTTTAATATTATATAGTTATAGGGGAAACTCTTATAAATCTAAGTTAAGAATAAATTAAATAATAATCTGTTCTTTTAGATTAGATAGCCTGTGTAATTTGGGATAGTATTGTATTAAGATAATATACCTTTCTGCTAGTAATATAAGATATTACAATATATATTATAGATTTTATAGCACTCTGGATATTTAATTTTGAGTTATTTTAAAAGGCTTAAAGAATAAAAAGATATTTCTCTTTTATTTAATTAAGATATTTTAGTAATTAAGAATTAATTAATTAATTAAAAAGATAAGAGATAAGGGATTTTTAGCCTACTTACTTATTTAGCCCACTTACTTATTAAGTATGTTATTATAAGTATAAAAAGATATAGAAACTTAAAATTAGTATAGCCTAAAAACTAAGAATAAGTTATAATTATTCAGGTAATTAATATAGAAGGCTGGGTAATTTAGCTATTTATTATAGTTGCTAGCTAATATTACCTTACTAGCTAGTATTAGAAAAGTAATCTTTTAAGTAATTAGGCTATTATAATAACTTAAAATAGCTAGACTAATAATAAGATAGATCTTAAGTAGCTTAAGTACTTTAATTAATATATAAAAAATTAATTAATTAGTTGCTATTATCTTCTAATTTTTAATAGATATAAAAGTTACTACTCTATTAACTTTAAGAAATATTATAAGAAGAATTAGATTATTATATTTTATATACTATCTTATTTATCTTATTTACTTTAGCCTCTTAATATTAAGTACTTTAGGCTACTTAAAACAGCCTATAGTTAAGTAATTAAGAAATTAATTAGATACTTTATAACTTATATTTTAAAGATTAAATTCTTCCCAGCCTTTTATACTGCTTATATAGCTGCTATAATAAGAAGTAATATTAAAGGAGGTTTTTAAGAGGCTGGACTTATTCCCTTAAACTCAGAAAATATTATATTAAAGCTTAATATATAGCTATAGACTCTAATACCAGCTATAATAGAAGTCAGTCTTTTTAACTCTTAAGTCTTAAAGACTCTAAAGATAATACTTAAGGCTAATTTACAGTTTAAATACCTTAAAAGATAAGTAAGAAGATATTAGAATAGCTCTCCAGTATTAATTTTTAAGGCGCTTAAGTTATTTACTAAAGAAATAAAAGCAATAATATATTAGATAGTATTATTAAAATCTGAAGTCTAGATCTTTTAATAGATAAATAAAACTCTTAGTAAGTAATATAAAGTAAAAAAAACCTGCCTATATAAAGAAGGGAAGATAACTTTAAATAAGAAGAGGGATAAAATAGATTAGAAAGATATTAATATATAGGTAGTAGCTAAATTATTAAGAAGTAGTAGTTAAAGGAGGTTAGTACTGCTAAAAAAAAGGCATTATAAAATATATAGAAAGGCTGGTTATAATATAAGAACTTATTAGATTATAATTAAGATTTCTAAGGAAGAGTATAGTAATTAGTTTTAATTTATTTAATACTTTATTATAGTTTTATTAAGATTTTAATTTTAAGAATAAGGAAAAATATAATACTTACTTATTTACAGCACTTACTTATTAAGTATGTTATTAATTAAAGTACTTAAGCTACTTAAGATTTATTTTATTATTAATTTAACTATTTTAAGTTATTATAATAGTCTAATTACCTAGAAGGTTACTTTTCTAATACTAGCTAGTAAGGTAATATTAGCTTATAACTATAATAAATAGCTAGATTACCTAGCCTTCTATATTAATTACCTAAATAACTATAACTTATTTTTAGTTTCCAGGTTAAATTAATTTTAAGTTTCTATATCTATTTATACCTATAATAACTATTCTACTTATAATAATACCTATTATAAAGCTAATCTTATTAAAGTTATAGATATTAGCTAAGTTAATATTATATTTTATAATTATATTCTCTACAAGCTTAAATTAAATATAAATAATTATTAGATCTTTATATTTAGCTCTCTAATAGTTATATTTATAAAAAAAATATATCTTAAGGTCTAGTTATTGCCTAATAAAGTTAGAAGCCTAGTACTTACTAATAGGTAATATATTATAGTTAGCAAGCAGTTAGTTAGCTATTTCTTTAATATTATATAATTATAGGGGAAATTCTTATAAATCTAGATTGAAAATAAATTAAATAATAATCTTTTCCTCTAAATTAAATAGTTAATATAATTTTAAGATTTAATTATATTAAGATTAGATACTATTCTACTGGCAATGCAATCTATATTTATTAATCTTATAGATACTTATAGTACTTCAGATACTTAGTTTTAAGTTATTTTAAAGGGCTTAAAGAGCTAGAAGAATCTTTTACTTAGTATTTAATTATAATATACTGAGTTATTAAGGTTTAATTAATTAAATAAAAAGTTAGGTATAGAGGGAAAAAGTATAATATATACTTAGATATAATATATACTTATTATATATATTATATCTTATTACTAAATAATATAGTAGCTAAATAAGATAATAAAATATTATAATAGATTATAATAAAGTAGGTATATTTAGAAGATATAACTTAAAGGCTTTAAAATAGAGTTTTAATTAATAGAGATAAGAAATTTCTTATTACTTTAAAAAGCTTAATATATATTATATAGATTTTATAGCTTTAATATAATATAGAATTTATTAACTGGTAATAGAAGTATTAAGTTAAGAAAAAAGAAATCTTAAGATAGGTTTCTAATAGTAAAAATAGTTTAAGTTATTAGAATCTTTAATTTAAAAAGACTGGTTTACCTGCTAACTTAGATAATTCAAATATAACTGCTGACTTATATAGTGCAGCAGGAATAACCTAAATAGTAATTTCAACAGTGGACCAAGGCTATAAACATCAAATTATGTCTTAGATGTAAGCTTGTAGCTGTTAGCATGCATTGTAATTCTTAAAGCAATGTCACGTTCTATACAGCAAGTATCCATGCCCCAGGGTGTAAATACCCCACACTGTGTAATACGTCAATAGTAATATTGCCGATCTCTCGAAGGTAGTTATAGAAATATACATCTAAATCATGAACGGTCTTATGTTGGTGCTCATAATTTGACAGCCGAGGAGCTGTGAAATCTGGATGCGATTTACCTAGACCAGAGCCCTTGTAATAGCTACTGAGGGTACCAAGTTCTCTTTGCATGCGCAAAGATGAAATTTCAAGTTATATGAATTATATTAAATTATTAGGAGCCCATTGCCAACCTTTCCAGTGGCTGAATCATCAGGGTATGGGCACCCTCGATCCATGCGGTACCCATCAGCAAAAGGTCACCCACTTGAGCTCCACAAGCAGTCCATGAGAATGCGGAACGTTGAAAAGCTACAGAGACCGGATGTAGTTGAAAGCAAGCAATGTCCTCCTTCGCCCATTTGGGAATGTATTATCCGCTTCAAACCATCAGCCTTGGATTTAACAGCCCCGTGTCTCATCCTTGAGCTGAAGTGTGACCGAGACCTGACCCTTCGACAGCTGGTGAGTTTTTTGTTGCTTCTGGCAGTTGCCACACTTGATGCCGTTCTTATTGCCGCGAGTCCAGTAGTTGGCAGAGAATGTATGGATGCTGCCCACATGATCAGGGCTTAGCTTGTGATCCGTTGGAGAATTGGGTATGTCACCTTCTTTGCCAAAGAAGAAATGAATGGTGTAACTACTTCCGTTCAAGGCGAATCTATTGTAGCTGATGTTGATTACGTAGTTATTGTCAAGGCCCTCAATGTTCTGTTCGGAGCCAACTTTGGTAAGCACTTTTCGAATGATTCTATATTTTCCCGTGAGGCGCTTCTTAATAAGCTCGGGAGAGGCTGTGCCAGCGTTAGAGTCCGTTTCAGGCGCGAGATTAGGGTAGGTATATTCAAGTGTCGTCCAATCTTGGACCATGTCAGAGGCGTAGTTCGTGAATTTGCTATCAGTATGGCATGGATAGAGGTTATCCTGGGAGGTTAGATGGGTGTCCTTTGTAGCGCCTGTGAACCATTATCCTTATCCGCTATTGTGCTGATAGACAGCAAACTGACGATCAACGTTGCAGTGATGCAGCCAGAAATGGGGTCAAAGGCAGCGGTGCCAAGATCAACCATATGGCCATGGGAACATTGTGCTTCACCACTACCGGTTGCTTGAGAGGGGTCCAAGGGCCATCCTACGCCTCCAACCAAATTGTGTATGTAGTTGTGGATCATCTCGAGGGACAACCAGCTATTTGGCTCAGAGCCGCCATGTGCCGTGATGGCAAACTCGGCGTAGTTATTGAAGTTCGTTGCTATGAATAGTGGGCTGACTTGATCCAGAAGCGAACCGTTCAAGCCAGTAGAATTGTTGTCGCCCATTTGAATCACTGTCCAATTCTGGTCTTTTAGTGCTTTTTCAACCCAATCATTGTTTTCAATCCCAGCGGCCTGCTCAGGTGTCAAGACATTTGTGCCGGCTTCCACTAAATACAATTATTCGATCCTGCCCCTAGCCTTGAAATCTCCATATCGATCCGATTGATCTCTGACAGGACGGTAAACAAAGTAATCGAACCGGGCCTCTCGTGCTAATCCGTTCAGATCCGAACAGGCCATCCCGACAAATGCACCAGTGAAAGGGGAGTCTCCCCAGTCCTGAGCACATTCATCCGAAAGCGTTGATGCATCTAGCACCGGCCCCATCTGCTTGAGTTCCTCATTTTCTATGGCGTAAAAGAAGCGTAGTTTGTCTCCGCGTACTGACATGGCCAACTTTACTCTACCTTGTTCAGGAATCGAAATAGGCTCAATAGTATGACTGTCCAGTGATGCTTCCTTATTTGGTGCGGAAACCTTCATCAAGAGAAGTTCCCTCTCTCCATCCGAGTGTGCAGTGACAGTAAGGTAGTAGAAGCTATACCGGTTGTAGTATGCAGTAAGCCCTGCGTACTGACGCTCATCCTCTGGATAGAACTCAATTACTGTCTCGGCATCGAATGAGAAATGACACTGTCGACGGGCTACAAGAGCCTGCTCAAACCAGGAACCAATCGACTCGCGACCATATAACACGAGTCCATTGTTCGCCTTGAAGATACGGTTCGGCTTGGGCGTTCGGAGCCACTGAAAATCGGACGGGAGATTGCTCTCAAAAGTATATCGTTGCTCAGCCCAGTAATTCGCATCGTCGCGAGCCGCCAGCAAGTTGACGTGCAAACTGGGAATTGGACCATCCTTCACGTATAACCAGTCATCATCGGCCCAGTATGCCTCCTGTATGGCTGTCTCACGACCAAGGACACATCGACGTTCTTGTCCCGTGGGCCGGCCGGTAAGATGCACCAGATAAGTTCGACCGTCGGGCGTATCCACAATATCTCCATGGCCAGCCTTTTGTAATTCGGTAGATGGGTCGTCCTTTGAAGTCAGGATATGGTTCTCTGGATGATTCTCGTAAGGACCCCAGATTGATCGAGACCTTGCCATGGAACATGCGTGAAGCCATCCAGTTCCACCCTCAGCAGCCAGTATGTAGTACCACCCGTTGCGTTTGTACATGTGTGGACCCTCTACATACCCTAAACTCGTTCCTTGCCAGATGTTCTTCCTAGGTCCCACCAGCTTTCCCAGATCAGGATCGTACTGCTGCAAGCAAATACCTGCAAATAGAAGAGGTCGGCTGCGGTGGTCCCACAGCATGTTGACGAACCATTTCGTGCAGTTTCCATTATCATGGAATAAAGAAGGGTCAAAGCCTGAGGAGTTGACGTGTACTGGCTCACTCCACGGTCCTTGGATATCGTCGGCGCATGTGATGTAGTTGGGAGTATCTTTGAAAGATCCGTGAAGTCGTCTGGTGCTTGTATAAACAAGATAGAACTTCGATCCATCATGGGATAAGCATGGAGCCCAGACTCCACAACTATCAGGTATCCCACGCATATCAAGAAGACTTGCACGATTCAAAGGCCGACACACTAGGTTCCAATTCGCAAGATCCTTAGAATGGTGTATCTGAACACCGGGGTACCATTCAAAGGTTGATGTGGCAATATAATAATCATCCTTGACCCGAAGAATAGAGGGATCCGGGTTAAACCCAGGAAGGATGGGGTTGGTAACAAGAGGCATTTTAAATGATGCCACAATGGAACTGAGACTTTGGATGAGTAGGCCGGATTAAATAGATGGAGACACTGCGTTTTTAAAGGGAAAAGTAGGGTTGCTGTGCTGCTCTACATGTCCACTGTTAAACTGCATTTAGCCTAAAAAGGATTTCGTATCTCTTTAGGCCACTCAAGGCTTATGGAGCTCTACAACATGTGCTTTAATCGCTTGTTGCCAATCGATTAGTCATTTTTACTTTCTTGACTGGTCTTATGCATGTTTGAGTATCCCCACAAGCCTTGGGTGGCCCAAAGAGTCAGATGATCTCCTAAATTACTAATGACTTTTCTCTGCTCGGTCTGATCTGTGACAACCACCCGAAAAGCAAGCGTTCGTTATTAGCAGCGTGAAAAACTCGGCATATCACTAAGCCGACTTGAACCTGGATTCAGTAGTCGAGATATCCCTGTGCTAAAACTTTCCTATTTAGGTGTCACATTGTAAGCTGACACAGCAGTAGAAAGCAGTTAGCCAGCTCCCACCAACCAGGCTTAATTGGCTGCTGCCTACGGCTATGCCAGTGTGTCTTGAGTGCGGAGAAGAAGCGAGCTGACACTAAATTCACGCCACTACTGCTAAGCTCTACCCCAAGAGTCGCCGCCAACATCTGACATACCCTTGTTGGCCTGAAATGCTGAGAGGTTACTGTTTGTCTGCCAACAGCCGTCTTTCAATTTGCACGATCTAACAATGAAATAGTCTGAATGCTTGGGTCATGGCAAATCAACCCAATAGCCTCAGCTTGTGGCAGAATCGAAAGCACGCTAACTCATTTCTCATTCTGTTTATGAGAATTGTTGGATCCGTTACGGTCAATTTGATCAAATGGATAGTGTTCAAAGCAGTGATGATGATGTTGATTATTGCTTGTCCCGGTCATCCGGACCGGCCGGAAGAGGGGTTATCATACCCCTCTTCTGACAAAGGTCAGGATATCAATCTACCAGAGGTTTCGTAATACAGGGTCGTAATCCAACAAGAATTTAGATTATGCGTGGCCCGCTTCTTAGTATCCGTAAAACAGGCGATTGGACAGGGTGCTAAGCCACACTCATGGCGACGGCAAGGGCCAAGACGAAAATCATGCAATTGGTTGAGCCGTCCTACCTAGGGCGCCACCACATTGCACTAAGCCCGCCTGAGTCAACCCTGCATGCCAGACTCCAACAGCTGGGTGGTTTCTTCCTCCGTTTTCGGCCACGTCTCTCGACTCGCGGAATAACAGGCCGAGAAGGTGCAGGGGTAAATCTAGTCTTACCTGATCATTATTTACTAAACACAACAACATTACACTTCTTTCAAGTATCAAGTGTTGACATGGAATATTTCAAAGCTTTTAATACCACTCGCGGGGCTAAATCTGCATCTGCTCATTGAAATCTCTCAAGGGGCTGTCTTGGGCTCAGATGTAGGACCTACATCTGGAAAAGCTTGAATCGCTAGAACAGGCCAATCTTGAGCGTAAAGCTCGCAAGAAAAGGACCATTTCCCAGCCTTAACGATCCTTACTTCGTCTTTACCATCTGGCAAAACAACTTCGGCTTCTGTCATAACTGGAACAACAATCTCCATAAAGAACTTGCCCTCCTCCACCCTCCACTCTATAGACGCCAACCCATAAGGTGTCTTTTGATACGCATTCGCAAATTGTATATCACCACCGGGCTGTGGTGCAAACTGGATTCTTGTCCAACCTGGTTCAAGACATTTCACGCCCCCTAGACGCTCATATAAAAACGTTATCACGGAGCCGAAGCAATAGTGATTGAAGGATGTCATTTCACCGGGGTTTATGTCGCCATTGGGTAGCATGCTATCCCAACGCTCCCACATGGTTGTTGCACCTGACTTAACAGTGTATAGCCATGAGGGACATTCTTGGCAGAGCAGTATAGCGTATGCTACTTGTACATGCCCAGTACGGATAAGAGCCTCGCATAAGAATGGCGTTCCCGCAAAGCCTGTCCCGATCTTGAACTGGTTTCTCCTCATGATGGTAGCCAGACGCTGACCTGCATAAGACAGTTGATCATCGGACACCAGCTCGAAGCAGATTGCCAAAGCATAAGCTGTCTGAGAATCTGAGCTGATGCGGCCTCTTGGTGACACGTATTCTTCCAGGAACTCTTGACGGCAGTCGACTGCCGCTAGAGCATAGTATCGAGCATCTTGTTGCTTGTTCAGTGCAGTTGTAACACGAGCTATCAAATCTAATGAACGAGTGAGAAACGCATCTGCCACTAGAATGGGGTCTGTAGACCCGTCCATTGGCTGTTCTGGTGGTGCCGTTGGGTCTAGCCAATCCTATAAAGTGTTAGATAACAAGCAGCCACTGACAGAATCCAGTCATGGCATCACTTACACCCAGTTGAAATGAGTCCCTGGCCCATAACCTCCTCTGGCCTTTATCATCCCGCGGTATAGATTCGATCCACCTCTTCATACTGTCATAGTTGTCACTGAGGATCTGCATGTCACCAGACGCCATGTAGAGAGCCCATGGTACTAGTATAACCACATCATGCCAAATCGCGACAGGCAGTGGAAGGTTCCAGATTCCAAGATCCTCACCAAATATGTTGGGTGTGACATATGCTGGGATACCTTTTCGGCAATCTTGATCATATCTCACATCCACCATCCAGTCTTCCAGGAAGCCGTGACAGTCAAATAGCTTCACGGCAGCCGGAGCAAATTGAGCAATGTCTCCAGTCCACCCCAGACGCTCATCTCTCTGGGGACAATCTGCAGGGATGGAAAGAAAGTTTCCTTTCGTACTCCAGCGTGCATTGCTGAAGAGCTTGTTGAGGTTCTCATTGGAACATGAGAAGTCTCCCACGGGTCGCATGTCAGTATGGCACACAACAGCCTCGACTGAATCGAGAAGAGTACTGTCATCTGCCATACCATCGATCTGACAGTACCGAAAGCCATGAAAAGTGAGCTTGGGCTCCCACGAATGAGCAGATGCGTCGCCGTCACAAATATACACATCAGTCGCTTCGCAAAAGCGGAGGGGTCGAAGGCCAAGTTCACCATGTTCAAGAACCTCGGCATGATGAAGCTCAACTTTGTGGTGTTTTGGCCCCTTGATTCCCTTGATCCGTACATATCCGACAAGATTCTGGCCAAAATCAACGACCGTCTTGTTCGAGGGCGTGGTTATGAGTTTAACGGGACGGATGGTTTCTACTCGGCGAACAGGTTCCGAGCAACCGGAAACAAATCCAACAGATGCAGGCAAAGGATCAAGTACAGTAACTGATTCCCAACCTGCATCAACCGAGTGGCTCGCACTAGACCAATGTCGGATCGCGAGGTTGGCGTCGTACTTTTCTCCGTCATACAGCTCGGCTTTGGTTGCAGGTCCCGGTATCGAGTTCCAGCTCGAGTCTGAAATTACCGACTCTACCGTTCCATCTTCGTATGTTATCTCAAGCTGTGCCATCAAAGTAGAAAAAGGACCCCATCGGTGTTGTCGGCCGCCAAAGAAACCAAGGCGTCCACAGAACCAACCATCAGCAAGACGAAAGCCAAGGCAGTTCTGATCAGAGGATTTGAGTAGGTCAGCTACGTCGTATGTCTGGTACCGGATACGATTATCGTAAACTGTCCATCCAGGGGCTAAGAAGTCATCACTGACGCGATGGCCGTTCAGCTCTGCTTCATAAACACCTTGGACCACGACGTATAATCTTGCCCTAGTGATTGGGCAGGACCTGGTTCCGAAAGCTTTACAAAGCAGTTGCTCTCGCCGAGACGAGCTGCTTCCGTGGACAAGCTGGGTCGAGCTAATCCTTTGGCAAGCCCAGTTCTCTCTCGTCATCAGTCCAGTTTCGTAGAACGCCCCCTGGCTCCAAGAGGTAACGTTCTGGCCGTCAAAGGCTCTTATACGTATAGAGATCCTTTGCCGGGGTTTTAGAGAATCCTTGTCGGGCCACGGCACCAACTGTGAAGAGCTCGACTCTATTTTGAAACAGGTCTGCCGATTCTGAGTGATGGCGACATCATTTTGGGTAGTTGACGTTGGGGGATGTTGAGTAATTTCAATTTCATACGCAGTCTGTATGAAGGTGTTCTCAGTAACCAAGGTCCATGATATTCTTGGTCTAGGATCATCCAGACCAAGACTGTACTGAGGTTGGTGGTGCTGAAAATGAACGTTCGCGACCTGGACATCTACCAACACCATGATGAAATTGGTTTTGGTATGCTGAAAGAGGTAGAAAAATGGCTTGACTGTGGAGAAGGAAGGTTGAAAGCTGGCTCAGGGATTGCATTCGGCGCAAGCTCGGCGTTTAAATACCGCTCTGCTCTGCGCCACGGTTATTCCCGGTGGATTACTCTTCCGAAATGATGTACCGAGTGGCGGATACAACCGTACAGCCGGGTCCCTTGATGTTACAAACGTGAAAAAGATTCTACGTGGGCCGTTCCATTGGAAATAACTGCAAGCCGAGCAGTTACCCGAACGCTGTCGCCTACCAACTCAGAAAAGAAGATTACAGTATTAGATGGAATTATCAGGACGTATGCTGCACGCATGTCGCAGGCTCGTTTACAACCATCCCTGTTGGCAGATGATGCTTAGGCAGGCGAGTGGCTGTATCTCGTCAAAAACCCTCCTCAATCAACTGAGTTACTGAAAGACGTTTTCTAATCATAGACTAGACTGTGTTCTCCACCACTCCGTGATGTGCGGGGTGTTAGGTGACTTGGGAGATGCAGGGTGGAACTCAATCAGGCATAATTTGACAGCAACACCCAGTGGAAACTCCACATGCCCTATATGGCAAGCCAAAGCGCTCTGAAATGGTCAAGGGTAGTCTACTAGCCTCGCAAGAGGCCGTGGAAATGGCCAATACTTGTCTCGATCATGAGTCTATTTGCAATGATCCGCTTCCTCTCGGTATCACTTTGTAGCGAGATGCTGCTTTAGTGTTTCTAAAAGGTATAGCCAGTGGGCTAGCAACATTTCGTCCCCTTGAACAAAGTCATCTGACGTCTAAGTGTCGGTCTAATCGAGACCGAGTGTGGTTTGCCCCGGATCTTTCGGATCAACCTCACACTACGGGGACATCGATGCCTGCGGTCTGACTGCAGGACGTAGAGTTAAAAGCCTTGGCTCCGCGCTGTAGTGGATTACGCTAGCATGCCCCGCATCGTGATTGTGGGGGATGACGGGATGTGACTAGCTACCTAGAGTTAAACTTTGCGTCGGTTGCTTAACACAGCAGGGGCGTCCGTTTAGATATAATTTGACCTTAATGATCAGGCAATATACCCTTGTTCCCCCAGTTTACCCCATGATTCCTGTTACTAGCTTATTCCGTCCATTCGCACATATCAATTCACATCATTTACCCTCAAGCTAGGTCTAGACCATGATCCTTTCATATTTTACCATGAACAAAAGGAGAATAAGCTGAGCTTGGCTTAGGACGGCATCGAAATGGTTGCACGTAGAGCGGTAGGGATCAGTAGTGAGAATCTCATGCCTTTATTGTAAGTTTAGAACAGTGACCCTGGTCTTGATGGAGGGAACACACGTCAAATAATAATATAAAGGCTTGGAAGCTCTATTGGAAAGGAAGCTCATCTCGTTTGAATCATACGCTCCATTGCCACCAGCTCTACCCTTGGCGAGACCTTTATCGGTCCACTCTAGTTATCTTGCAACAATGTTCCCATTCACTGCAAGGCAAGCCTGGTAAGTAAGTTCTTACACTTTATCTTAATGTATAAGCTCACTGGGAATCAAGGTCATGCTTTTGTGCCACCACTGCCTTTGCTGCCACTGTCGAGGCTATAACGTCTCCTATCGTAGCCAAGGGCCCTGCATGTGCTACCAACAATGGAGCCGTCCAAGTCACGGCTGACTGCGTTGATTCCACTTATAACACAGCCATCATTGACGCTGAGCAAGACTTCGCTACTCCCATCGCACACCGGAGGGTCTCAGGGCACTTCAGTGAAACCAATATCGACTTCAATATCTACCTTCCAAAGTCTGGGTGGGATGGAAGGTTTTTTCAGCTGGTCTACCCTCTGCAGAACTCGACTGCTGAAAACCACGAGATTGGCTTCGGTGCCGACAGCGGCGGGTATACTAACCATGTAGCTGGAGGTGGAGGCTATCGTGCTGATGCTGCCGTGGCCAAGTTGTCGCGAACTATTGCTGCTAGGTATTATCAGTCTGATCGAAAGATCTATGGCTACGTCTATGGCGCCAGCGGTGGCTCCATGGTTACCGTTGGGGCTGTTGAGAATACCTTCGACGTTTGGCAAGGTGCTATTCCTATTGTCCAGGCTATTACTGTCTCCAACCCAAACAACTTTTGCATCCGTGCAATGGCAAGTCTCGTCCTAGAGTCGCAAAAAGAGAAGATCCGAGACTCGATCTGCCCTGGAGGGGATGGCGACCCTTTTAGTCACTTGAATGCACTTGGAAAGAAGGTCCTCACTGAGGTCACTGAGCTTGGCCTCGTACTCGAATCATTCGAGGATTGGGAGGGCCTCGCTGGGAACAGGACAAGCTTCCTACGGACTTTCCGAGTTCTGGTCCCTCCCACGATTGCCGCCTTCGATCCGACCTATGTCAACGACTTTTGGACAAAGGATGGATATCTTGGAACTGAAAAGTCCGACCTCGGTGACTTTTACCGCAAGGCTGCGGTCGAATTCAACACGGCAGTCAAGTCGGTTCTGATTGATTCAGCGAAAGTCCCTGTCGCTTTTACTCTCGCCAAAGCTCCTTCAACCCTACCGGCATACGGGCTTCAGGCCACTATCAAGTCGGGGGATGGTAAATCGGCTCTCGGACAGTTCACCATACAAATTGCAAAGGGCTCTCAGACTGCTGAGATCGACCCCGGTCAGAACACAACTGTTCTTGCCATGATCTCCAAGGGTTCTCGGATCCAGGTTGACAACCGGGCATGGTTAGCAGGTTCTGCATACCATAGATACCAAGTTCCCACTCAGTCAGACCTCTACGGATATGATTATCTTCGCAAGGCCGATGGAACACCCAAGTACCCCCAGCGTAACGTACTGATCGGTCCTACTATCGCTCGTGCTGCTACTGGTGGGGCCACCTATACTGGCAATATCACTAGCAAGGTGATGATTATGGATTCGCTAAAGGACTTTGATGCATTCCCATGGCACGCCGATTGGTACAGGACAGAAGTCAAGGAAGCCCTCGGTGATCGATTCGGGCAGAATTTTAGACTGTACTATACTGCAAATGCCGATCACTACCTGGAGCCGGTGCCCCAGGATCAGCTGACCCGGATCGTCTCCTACCATCCCGCCTACGAACAGCATCTCAGAGACTTGAGTGCTTGGGTTGAGAAGGGGAAACAGCCACCTGCTGAAACATCATACTCTGTCGGCCATGGACAGGTCAAGGTTCCTGCCAGCGCGGCCCAACGCAAGGGCATTCAGCCCATCGTGGACCTGACGGTGAGTGGCAAGACACAAATAATCACCAATGCGAGACAAGCCGTGTCCTTCAAGGCTCACATCGAAGTTCCTCCGGGCACTGGGTCTGTTACGTCTGTCGAATGGGATTTTGAAGGAACTGGGGATTTTGAAGCAGCTGGAAGCTTTAAGAAGGGCAAAGCTGTCTTGGATGTGACGGCTTCTCGATCGTACCAAACGCGAGGCACTTATTTTGCCGCTGTTCGTGTCACTTCCAACCGTAATGGAGATGCCAATGCGGCTTATGCTCAGGTTGCCAACCTTGGTCGTGTTAGGGTAGTTGTAAATTAGTTCCAATATACTCGGTTACAGACTGTTGCAGTCTACTAATACTTTCTTTCCTACATGAATTCTTGTGAAACCTCCATTATTATGTATATTTACCGTATATTTCCACGAAGTCCATTGACTATTGCATAAGGGGCTGTCCCATTGTCAACTGGGGCTGATTCTATCCAATCCAATTGGGTATATTAGAAAGGAACGTAAAATATTAGACCGCCTCTGCCATATAATGCCTTAATGTTAATTAGTGCCTTGGTCGATAATGTCAAGCTGTTAGACCTAACGCCAGCATCGATGAATGTCGTGGAAATATACGGTACATGAGAGTCTTTCAATGGCTTGCTTTCTTTCAATTTTTTTACTCCTTTCTAACAACCGTTTTGTTATAATTCGTAGGAGCATCATAAAGCACAGAAGAGTAGCTATATACTGATAAAATGCTACTATCTATTTCAGCAGCTCCATCCACTCCGCAGTTGTTGCGACCACAGTCCCCCTACTACCACGTAAAGCCTTGTTTGTAGTTTGTATGACGACTCGTTTGTAGGTCGTCATACTGGGCTCTCCGTTATCCCGCACCTCGAGGACGATATGGTACTCAAGGCCCTTGGCCATTGCCTGGCCGCTAATCGGCTCTTGAGCGGACACTTCGGGGCCCGGAACTTGCACTTCAACCTGATCCCCACGACCTTTCAAGTCGACAGTAATGATGTCAAGGTCTGGATGAAGACCAACAGGCCATCCTTGTACAGCGGTTGGTTCCTTGTACTGAAACCAGTTAAAGGTGATGTCTTGTCCATCTGGGTCGTAACTTCTGGAAGCATCGAGGAGAAGCTTCTCGCCAGCCTCTACCTCTATCAGGACAGGCTCGGGACCACCGGTGCTGTCGTTGACAAAGACAACAGGTGCATGGTTAGTCTTGGAAGGATCATCAGTGAGTGTCCACCGCATACGCGCTGCAAAGTCATTCTGGAAGGCACGTCGCCAGCGCCAAATGGTGGCGAAATTGCTGGTATAAGTCCGCCCATCCATGCCTACTACATCATCGACGGCATCGACAAAATGATTGCCCGTCATGGACGGGTCAAAGTAGCTATACCGGCCGCCCCAGCTGCCCCAGTGAGGATGCTCCGGAGACCCCAGGCCGTTTTGGATGAGATAGAGGAATGTCGGGGTGTCACCTTCGACGAGGAACTTGAAGTCGGGGTACTTGGCACCCAGTGGCCCGATCTGGATATTCTCCTTTATCCACTCCTTTGTAAATTGGCTAGGGTTAGCACCGCCGACGTCGGTCGGGCCTGAGATGCCTGTCCACGCTGCGACATTATACTGGCACCAGCCATGGATAGAGCAGATGTAGAAGATATCCGGATATGTGACTCTGATCCAGGCACCAGTATCGTCCTGGTCAGAGATGGCATACACTCTGATCTTGGATCTGAATTGAGCAAATGCCGAATCATTTCTGGTCTTCTCAACGTGTGAGAGAGCCTGGGCAAGTGGATTGGCGCCGCCCCAGAGAAGAACCCAAAGAGGCTCCTCGGACTCATCAACACGAGCAATGATGAGCTCGGAGCCGCTACTCAGTGGAGTGAAAGGCTCGAGGGCGATTTTTCCGTACACCGGGGGGCCGACCTTAATCATATCCCGAAGGCTTTGTGCGCTCGGGTACTGGTTGTCGGGGTGAGCATGGGCGTTGAGGTTGTCGACGACCTCGTCATAGCCGTCGATGATGCTCTCAATCTCTTGCGGAGCTACACGGGACCTCATGTGCGTGGATGTACAGGCCACAAGACCGCGCGTGTCAAACTCATTGCTGTAGAGTAGGTAGCGCACAAGTGATTCCGAGTCGTCGGGTTCGTTGGTTACGTCGGTCAAGATCAAGACTCTGGGCTTGCCTTTGCAGGCCCGCAGCTGGTTTTGGAACACCATGATAGAGAAAGTGTGTATTCGATTGGCGTGCCTGGAGGACAAGCAACCAGAGTTCCTGGACAGCTCTAAATATCTACTACGTAGTACGCTTGTGCAATGAAGCTCCTGCAGGTGCGTAAAACTGCCTTTTCGGGCCGCTCGGTGTTTCGCTCATCAACTTCCCCGATTTTATGCTTTTGCTGCGCATGGATTGTTGGACGAAGCTAACGTGGCCCGCCAAAGTGCAAATCAGGTCAAGTACAGGGTTGCGGGTGTATTTACTAGATGTCTGCATAGAGAAGGCCAGTTTGTACTGCCTTTGGGCTGCCGAAGGACCGCATGGATGTTTGTTCCCCTCAATACAGCGGTGGGTGTGTCGACGATCAAGGGTTTACCACGCGCTATCCGTAGTACAGCCCATAAGTGCGTAAACTAAGCTAGCTGTGTGTGCTGAGCCGCTCAAGGATCTGTCCAATCGGCGATTTGTCGTTCCCTGAGCCTCCACCTTCTACGGAGTATAATGAGCGTGAACCTAACCGAGAAGAAAACGACGTACGGATACCCCCTGCGAAAACCCATCCTGACCCCCTTTATCTACCCTTGACTTGCAAACGCTGGTGCAATCTACAGTATATCCGTAAGTTGACAGAAGTTTAAGCTGGACAAGGCACGGTAACCCCGCAATCAACATGCAAAGACGGCAAGGGTTACCACAATATCAGCCGACCGAACTCGGCTCATCATGGAGCGAATGTTTTCCAAGCTAAAAGCTAGGCCCACAAGCAACCTCTATAGTCTATATACCAAAACTGATCGTGTCGGGTGATTCAGACCAGGAATGGCCCCCCAGCGCCTTTCGCCTGAGAGTAAGATCGCAGCTCCAGTGAGTAATGTTGCACTCAACCCCGCAGAGGGGAGGATCTTTTTACCCCATTTTTACCAGTAAAACTTCAGTCGCCCGGTGTCGTGCACACACAAACTTTCCACACCAAGAGTTCTCGACAGGGATTGAGAATTGCATGTGACTTTTCTTTCTATTTATTCAGCTTAACTCTTGCACCTATCCGTTTCGGAATCAGATACCTTTTATCCAGTGAAGGCTGCCCACTAAGGCTAAGAGTGGCAAAAATGGCACAACAAAGCCATCTCCAAATTTTTCCTGGTAGGTCCCCTAGCCATAGTCACTGTCTTGTAAGACACCGAATCGCTCACCTAGGCTATCCATAGGCACTACCTGGACTGCCGATAATGGCCAGCACATTCAGGCTCATGGCGGAGGAATCATCAAAGTAGGCGAGCGATATTATTGGCATGGTGAAGACAAAACAGAGGGCACCAATTTCCGAAACATCAACTGCTATAGCAGCAATGATCTCGTGGATTGGCACTACGAGGGTGCCGCCTTAACTCGTCAAGAGTCGGGCGATCTCGGCCCAGAAAGGGTCGTAGAGAGACCCAAAGTCATCTTTAACAACTCCACCAGCAAGTACGTTATGTGGATGCACATTGATGACCCTGTATATTCCCACGCGCTTGTCGGAGTAGCAACAGGTGACACTGTGAATGGACGATTTTCGTACCATGGGAGCTTCCGGCCTATGGGATGTGCATCTCGAGATATGGGGGTTTTTGTCGACGATGATGATAAGGCCTATTTGATGAGTGAGGATGTAGGTTATGCACACAGTCTTGAAAACACAAGATGCTTACTGGATACGCAGCGCAAACATGGACTCCGTATTTTCGAGTTGTCGCAAGACTATCTATCGGTAGATAAACTCGTCCATTTATTCCCTGAAAACTTCGAGAGCCCAGCCATGATCAAGCAGAATGGATTGTACTACTTGTTCGGTTCGCAACTGACGTGTAAGCGCTCCCACTGACTATTTTAACGGGTTCTTCCCTAATCGTTTTACAGACTGGTATGCGAATGACAATAAATACACGACTTCAACATCCTTGTCGGGCCCTTGGTCACCATGGGAGCCCTTTGCCGACGTCGGGACCAACACCTACGACTCGCAAGTCACATCTGTCTTGCCCACGGGTTCTAGGACACTCTACTTGGGGGACCGATGGGAATTTCCACCGCTCCCGCGTAGCACGTACGTATGGCTACCGCTCAATATCGATGGCCCCAAGGTCACAATGCCTCCCGCCACAAGCTTTGTCCTTGACCAACAAGATGGAGCGGCGAGGACGCGTGTCACGAACAAGATGTTGAAGCGGTCTAAGAACGGTGAAGACGGCCGCAACACAGATGGAGATAAACAGAGATTGGCCAACTTTGAGTTCGAGACAAGCATGGAAAGTGGCGCAACTACCCTGGTCTTTCAGTATACAACTGAAGGTGACAAGGAGCAAAGCGTTCTCGTGATGATCGATGACGATTTCAAACAACAGGTGGCCTTCCTTGCAAGTCCAGGGCCTGACAAAGTCGCTTTGAGTACGGTTCATGTGATGAAAGGGTTCTCAAAGGGAACACATTCTGTTACGGTAGTGGGCTCTAGCGGTCAAGGAACAGATCTTCGTATTGATGGACTCATCATCCCAAGTATTTAGCATTTGGCAATAAAACAAAGGTTACCCACGACCACATAATCGGACATGTTTATGCTAATCGTGCAGTTGTGCCTATTGTCGATAATGATCGCTTGAGGCTTCTAGAAATTCGCATATTTGCCAATTCGTTGCCATTTAAATTGACAGAAATTATCACCGACCGAAACGTACCCCTAGAACCAACTGTACGCGCTTTTCAGTGAGTAACTCATAGGGTCGCTTCCGTAAGTCCTCCAGCTGGTGGCAAGATTCACGCCGCCCTTACTCTGAGCATGGCTGAAGCGTGGCGAATCACGCGAAATTGGCCGTCCGGGCAATGCCGAGTGAAGGTATCTCAGACACGACGCGAAAGTCTGGTCCGATCAGATGAGGTCTGGAACACTCTTGCTAGAAGTTTGCAATTTTCTTGTCAAAGCGCTCATGTTGACAGACCTGGGTCTGGGTCAAGGCGAAAGAATGAGAGACAGGATCAAGGAGCGGTGGTTGGTTGGGTGGTAGTGGTACAGACGCGGTTCTATACTATCGAAAACTTGCTGTCCATGTGCACTGACTGCTAGGCTGCCGTCTAGACTCATCTACTGCTCTCCACGAGACAGCATGGGTTTGGCATTTCGTGGCATCAGACACCGAGAATTGAGGGTGAGCTTTTCGTGGTATCAAATACCGAGAATTGAGGGTGACTAGCAGTAAAGCGAAGCGAAGCATCTCTCGCGGTTTAGGGAACGCCACTGCACACAGACCCATCACATTTAGCCGGTTGGGGGGCAAGTGTAACCGCCTGTAGGGTTCTGTCTGTCAGAGCCTTGTTGGGCAAGGGGGGTTAAGCATTTCCGTTGGCACCGAGTAATGTACGGATACAAGGTGACCCAGGGCCTAGGCTTGCCTCCTGCACTACCCCATACCCTGTACCCCGTCTTCCAATCCAAGCGCTAACCCGCATCACACCCCCCATACCCCAGCTTAGTATCCGCCGTACTGTACCACCCCGCTCGTCAACCATTGTGGCGAATTCCCAGAACCTGAATCCATCGCCTCTAGAGCAGCCGCACACTCGGGCCATGCATGCATGGGCTTCTTCTGATGATTTAAAGACCCACGCTGCTCTCTGGTAAATAAATCTCTTATTGCTTCAGAGTCCAAGCAAGCTCATGCTTTAGCATCAAAGAGCTCGAGCATCCTTTTCTTTTCTTTCGTTGCACTCAATCGCCTCCCAAACTGCCCATCGTCATTATGGCTCTGATGTCAAGTGCTGAGAAAGACGTCAGCAGGCCCGGCGACGCTGTCGAGCATCATGAAGTTGCTGGAGATGGTCTCCAGGCCCCCAAGGAGCTTACTTCAGAGGCTGCTGCCAGGGGACAAGGCATCTCTGGATATGAGGAGCTGACGCCTTGGGAAACTATCAAAAAGTTCAAGATGAACGCTGCTGTTTGTCTTGCCGTCACCTTCAGTGCAGCTACGGATGGCTACCAGATCGGGTATGTGTTCCATATCACTCCTACCTTTGCTCGCCTTGGTGCTCTTGGAAACAGCCACTAATGCTAGACTCGCCCAGACTCATTGGAAACATCATTGCAAACTCGGGTTTCGTCGAGCAGTTCGGTACTCAGCACACCGAGGAGGGTGTTGTCCTGGCGTCGTCTATTTTGAGTGCGTGGAACTCTATCGGATCCGGCGGTCAAGTCGTCGGAATGGTAACCTTGCCTTTCCTCTCGGACAGGTTTGGCAGGAAAGCAGCCATGTACTGGTTATGGTTCCTTCTCGCCATCAGCGTCATGCTCGAGTGTGTTGCCAAAGAATGGAGGCTCTGGTTGGTTGCAAAGCTCTTTGGAGGTATTGGTGTTGGCTGTCTGCAGTCGACAATCCCAACCTACGTCTCTGAGGTGGCACCTCCCCGCGTACGAGGTGTCTTTCTCATGTGCTACAGTCTCTGGTGGCTCATCGGACAGTTCTTCGCTCCAGTTGCTCTCCAGGTCATGCACGCCCAAGACCCAACTAATTATCTCACCCCGGTCTATACTCAGTGGTCTCAGATTGGGCTGATGCTCATCATCTACCTCCTGCTGCCCGAGTCCCCCGCTTGGTGTGTTTCTCGAGGCAAAAACGATCGGGCCAGAAAGTCACTCCGGGTCTTGTACCGCGGTGTGGAAGGCTTCGACGTGGACCATCACATTAGCCTTATCCAGATCAACCTTGAGCACGAACGCGCCATTGCCCAAGAGCAGAAAAATGAGAAGTGGTACTCTATCTTCAAGGGGCGCGACGGCCTTCGAACACTCATCTCGTGCTGGACTCTTATGACACAGCAGTTTATCGGTCTTGGCATCTTCTTCGGCTACGCTACCTACTTCTTCCAGCAGGCCGGACTTAAGGACCCCTTCAAGATCACCTGCATTACATCGGGCATCAATATCTTCTTTAGCTTTGTGGTTATCTATGTGTCGGATATCTTTGGTCGCCGATGGCTCGCTTGTTATGGAACAACTATTTGCTGGGCATGCTGTATCGTTGTGGGTATCCTCGGAGTCGCGCCCGAGACTAACGCAACCAACTATGTCTTTGTTCTCTTTGCTTGCATCTGGAGTGAGTTTCCTCGCAAACTAGCAAAACTTGATGTTGTGGTAAACTGACTTTTCCTACCTAGATATCGGTCTGGTGGCTAACGGAGCTACTGGTTGGGGTTTCATTGGTGAGATCTCTTCCCAGAGACTTCGACCTTACACTGCCGGATTTGCTGCTGCTTCTACCTGCGTCGTGGGAATTATCCTCGGTGTCCTGATTCCCTACATGATCAACGCCCACGAGTGGAACTGGGGTCTCAAGACTAGTTGGTTCTTCGCCGGTCTAGGCGCACCATTCACATTGGCCATGTGGTTCCTGATCCCCGAGACATCTGGGTATGTTGATCTGACACTACTTCTAATAATAATGACTTTGATACTGACTGACCTTTTACTAGTCGAACTGCCGCGGAACTCGACGAGCTCTTTGAGCGTAAAATCAAGCCGTATAGGTTCCACAAGACCACAACTACCACCCAGCGCATTCTTCAGGTTAACAAAGAAGAGGAGGCGTAATGGGAGTGTGTATGGCTTGAATCCGATGGGAACATGTCGGGCATTTCGGTCTGACACCACCCTAAACCTCTCGGCCAGAAGTCACGCTGTCTCTTTCCGTCCTGTTATCTCATCTTTGTTGGCTTTTCTGTTGTGTTATCGATCTTCCGCTGTGGCTGGGCTGGGCTGTAGTCCGAGAGAAATCTTGTGCAGAAACGGTCAAGTCGCTGAGTCCTCTGGTTCATTCCATGTAATGTTTGTCAGTATAGTCCAGCGGAATTGAGACCGCTTACTTAGAGTCGGAATATCACATGTTGGAATTATTAACCAAATTACCTGTTAAATCTCTGCTTATTCATGCCAGTCTTGTAGCTCCGAGTAGGTAGGGCGTCTGGAGACTTCCTTTCTCGCCGTGTGCCTGGATGACAAAATATAAGGTATTGGCCTTGTCAATGTCTCATGGTGATTACCTTACGACTTGATATGTACTATCCCTGGCCATGTCCCGCTTTACTCTTAGAAGTGGTGGGTCTGCCTCCCTTGGGGCTACCAGGAGGATCCAAATCTCTAATCATGACGTGAATAATAAGAGAATACATAATTCTTCCTTATAAAAGGCGTTAGTGTTCCGCCACCATTCGGTGACTTGTGTGACTTTCTTCTCCTAACTCTCAGTACGCTTGCATTCTTGCTTTGTTTCTCACGAGGCACTCTCATAAGGATATTGGCTACGTGGAAACAATGTCAACTTGGTCGAGCCAATCAATATACACTCGGAGTGAGCACTGAGCAGTGCTTGGGAATTTTCCATTACTGAGAAATTGAAAGTACCCGACCAGGTCATATTGATCTCACTGCTTCGGCCGGCCATTGCAAGAAGTGAGCATAGTCATCGGTTATATACATGTTGGATACTCGAATAATATGCTCGGCCCACCCGTGCAGGAACCAAGATCTCTTCATGGTTTTGATCAAAGGGGCGTAATAGGCTAGTAATAGCAATGCCACAGCGTCCTTTTCTTGCAGAAACGCTATAAAATCATCTTCCATCAGGTAAAGCCAGATAAGGACTACTTTGTTGTGCAATGGTGTTTTGACACAGCCCTGCTCGTCACCAAAGGTGGCTTCGTAGACGTCAGCAAGAGTATGCAGAGAGCGCACGTAGACATCATTTCTCGGCGTTGAAGCTGACATAACCAAGTCGCGTAGTCTTGCAACTGGGTCAATCCAGTCAACCAGTATGAAGCCTTCACAGACACAGGTCGGACGAGGGTCGCTGGGCGGCGCGCTATTACTACCGAGAGGCGCTGTAAGTCCGGAGAATAGGACACTTTCGTCGTAGAGCTCCCGTAGAAGTCGTGCGCCATGTGCTAGTGGAAGCCATTTGTGGGACGATGTACCGCCGGCAGAACATACAAATAGATCGTCAGGGCCACTGGGGCCTGCCGCAAATGAACAGAAGCACACAAGGATGGTTGATACGTAGAGACTGCCGCAAGTCGATGTGTTAATGGCGGATAAGGCTTCATTTGCCTGGGTGAGACCGACAGAGAAGTGATGTCTGGCGAGGGTGGCGTAGCGTGCCTTGTTGGGTTCGGTTTCCGACGCTAGAAAAGCCAGGTGATATGCCGCGAGAGAGAGACAGAGACGAAGCAGGTAAGGGTGTGAAATGGCGAGTAGGGTTGCATTTCTCGCCCAGAACTGGACGATCGGGTGGCTAGGATCGTCGGACCCGCCTAGATCTGGCCCAGTGCAAGTGATAAACTGATGCAGCAACTCAGCTTGAGTCATGTTAAGTTCAGCATCCGAAGGAAGCAACGCATGCTCTGAGTCTGGTGCAAGGCCTTGGCTCCAGTCTTTACGCGGCCGGCCTCGCTTACGTCTCGCTGGGGCGACGGGTGTGGGCTCTGTGTGCCCTTCCGCTGGTAATGCGGCTATGTTTTGCCCAATGTCTAAATAACGACAATCCAAGTGAAACCGGCTGCAGTTGGCACACCTGGGCTGAGCCTCGTCACACTGCATGTCTGATGGTGAGTATTGGTATATTTGAACGGACCAAGTGACCAACCTTGACCTTGCGCTGCTTGCAGTTGACGCAACCATTTTTGGACTTTTGGTGAGGCTTTTTCTTGAGCCGCCGACTTGGTAACATTGTGGGAACCGGCGCAATTACAGTAGTGTTAGGTCGCCACCCAAATGTGATGTATCTACTGTGGAGTAATTGAAGATTGTCCAGTCGGCACAAGGGAATATTTATTGATTGTTCGGATCCGCGGTCAAGCTAGGTGGTTATAACTTCCCTGTTAACTTCTCTTCAGCCTTAAAATCCGGGCATATAATCTTGTTTCTGGTGTTACGCTTGGTAACTTTAGGAATGGTCAAAACTGCGGAGTAAGATTATCCCTTTGAGTGGCATAAGCCTCCACCCCCTTGGCTAGCCCCACATCACCCTTGCAATAGCCAAGGTACAAGGAGTGACCTAGAGCGGGATCAAAATCAACACCACACATTTCCTCACACAACGCGTTCTTTACGTTCCCATGGATTCCCAACAGGCCTGCAGCGAGGCAGTCAATGCCTATGATGACAACAGCTTTATACGTATTGATAATAGCCGCCGCGAGCAAGCTGTTGATAACACCTGCCGGCCAATAAGAAAGCCGGTTCCGGACCGCCGTGTCCGTAGGGGCGGTTGGAATGCCCTAGCTTGGGACTTTTTGCTAGAAATAGCCCTTGTGAATAGCTTCCTTTTACAGAAAAGAGGCCAGCCACAATGGAAGCCAAAGGACAGTCAGGTTGAGTGGCGGCAGCAGCTTGTCTACAGCCTTATTAAGACCTATGCCTCAGAGACGCAGTCTCGGAGGAGGTTTCGAACGGGAGTCACGATGGCGTTGTCAGGAGTGTAATGTAGCTATATGTAGAGAGGGGAATTGCTGGTACTTCTGGCACCACCCAGAATAGGAAGGAATTGATGTACCATTGATTTGACGCTCTTTGGTTGGCTAGACCCCCCTGTATGAGGGGGAGGTGGAGGCTTACGCCACTCAAAGGGATGAATCGTGCAGTCCAGTCGGCGACTTCTCGTTTATGTATCTTTGCAACAAGTGGGTACGCTATGCGGAGACTGAATTTTTCAGCTGCATACACTAACCCGAGTCGAGCAAGTGATCGTCCACACATACATGACATAGGCGGGGGACGCTTGTGGACCGAAACAGACTGACAGGTTTGATTGGAGCCTTAAACGCGTATTCACTTTCCTCGACATTTCATCCCGTTGAATTCCTTCTTTGCCACCGTTCTTAACTCAACTCGTAAGAAGTGAAAACACTGGAGAATGTAATAAAATTATCTACCGGTACCCGATTCAATCACTGTACGGCTGAATGTCGCAGCTTTCTACCAACAGCTGGCCTCCAAGACTAATGGTCGC